ATGGGGAGGGGAGGTAAAGCGTGGGGGGGGGGGACCCAAAAGAAATTTCCAAAGTTATCCCCAAACCAAATAAAAAGGGAAAAAAATTAAAGGAAAAATATATATATTTGGTCACTATTTACAAACAGGAAAGTAAAAAGTTGCCTACAGGAAATACAGGGAGGGTTTTTTTTTCTTTCTGGAAACGGCAGTCATTGACAAACAGGCAACAAAGGAAAACACTTGATATACCAAGATGCTGTCTGCATCCCTGCGGCTGTGGCCGGAATGCTTTTGCTGCATCCAGAAGAGAAGGGGAGAGCGGGGGACTACTTACAATATGCTCAGAGACCGGCAAAAGCCATCAATTCTAAGGACCCAAAGAGATCTCACCGCTGTCTCCATTTAGACTAACCTCGCGTCATGCATGGAAATCTGCTTGCTCGTTTTTTTAAAATGTTTTTTTCTTTTTTAAAAAACCCAAAAATCTGTCCAAAATCGTTCCACTCCAAGAAGAAACAAAATTTTACCACTTTCTTTATATCTGCTATTGCGGAAACTGGAAGCAAAGACGGACACAAAAGGAAATTCATCAGAAACCCAAAAAAAACCCAGAGGAGTGGCGGGGGCTTTTCTTTTCTTAAAAAATGGTATTTTAATTCTCTCACCCACCCTAATTATTACTTCCCTCTTGACCCCACAGCAACATTACACTCCGGGGGGGAGGGGGGAGGGAGAAGTCCAGGATGGGGGAAATACAGGGTAGAAACAGTCAAATCACAATAGGAAACTCTGCTTTTCCAAAATAGGTTATTTTGAGCTTAGTCCTCTTCGTCGCCTTCATCGTCTGCCTCCCGTTTCCTCTTCTGCCCCTTTTCTTCATCTGCACAAGGAAATTACAAGGGAGGGTTAGGGGTCTGCTGTGGTGCCCCCCCCCCCGATCACGTGGGGTGACGCTGACCGAGCCACAATCACTAGTTCCGCAACTGGGGAAATTTTGACCCATGTAGTTGGGTCACTCCCTGCAACACATATGCTGGGAGAAGCAACGCATTCGGAAATTCTCCTTTCTCCGTGGCTGTCAGACAGCACGGGGAACCCCCTGCCCATGGCCGAGACCCGTGGCAAAGCAGAAGAAGAAGAGATTGGATTTATACCCCACCCTTCACTCGGAGTCTCAGAGCGGCTTACAAACTCCTTCCCCTCCCCACAACAGACACCCTGTGAGGTAGGCGGGGCTGGGAGAGCTCTGAGAGAAACTGCTCTTTTCCAAGAACAGCTCTGACAGAACTATGGCTAGCCCAAGGTCATCCAGCAGCTGCGAGTGGAGGAGTGGGGAATTAAAGCCGGTTCTCCCAGATTAGAGTCCGTGCACTTAACCACTTACACCAAACTGGCCGGTGCCTGACTTTGCAGGCAGTCAGCCCTTTCCCCCAGTCCCACAAAGTGGACTGCTACTACGGTCTGCCGCCCAAATTCAACTGGCTTCTCTCTGCACCCAGGCCCCCCCCCCGCCCCAGAGGGGCTAAGCTTTCTGGTGAAGTCTGGCCACTGCCATTGGAGCCTGCCCTTTTTTGACGTTTTTACACTGCTCTTCTGTCTCAAGAATGCAACTTGGGAGGACTGAACACATAAAGAAGATGCCAGCATCAGCGATTCAGGAAAAGACCAAAGAAATATTGGCAGGAAGAGGCCACTGCACGAAGACCATCCTGGGATGGAGCCATGCTCGCCAGGGAGGCTGGCAGAGGTCTGCAAAGCAGCCCCTCCCGGTGGAATACTCAGAACTGACCCCACTTGTCTAGCACAGAAGCCTGAATTTCACGGACGTATCTGTGCATAACCGAACGAATCTTCTCGTCAATTTCTGGGTTTGCCTTATGAGAGAGCACTGTGGTGCTAATGAGAAGGGGGCTATTCCTCTTGTCCGAGGCCTGTCCTTACCGGCTTCCTCATCCTCCTCTTCATCGTCTACTTCACCATCATTGTAACCTTCTTCATCCTCCTAAGGGAAGACAGGGAGAGACAGCGGAAAAGACATGCTTCATTCTGGTCCACGATTCAACCAAACTGGCAAAGCTATTTAAAAACTTAGTTTTGAAAGAGGGGAAAAGGTCCGCTGGAGTTGTGTGTGTGGGGGAAATCTTTCTACACAGGACTGTAAAGTTCACAGAATTATGGATGGTCAACAAGTCTCTCTCCCCCACCCTAAAAAATTCCCTCCTGTTCTATTGCCGCTACTCAATCCACATCCACGCTGGACGTCAACTTCTTACCTCCTCTTCCCCGGTTACATCCTCCTCTTCTCCTTCCTCCTCTTCCTCCTCCTCCTCTTCGTCTTCTACTACCTGAGCATCTTCATCGTATTCCTCTTCTACAAAAAGCAGGCAACGTCATGAGTCACTTTGTCTGCCTACCACCAGCAGAGGCACCGCCCTGGGGTTGGGCCAGTGCTTGGTGGCCAAGGTTTCCACTGTGCTTCTGTATAGTTGCAAGGTGCCTTTTGGACTGACCCTCTGCGCATGCATTTGGGTCATTTATACAATTGTCAAATCCTAGACAAAATGATTCATACAATATACAAATCATAACCAAGGCACAGACGATTAAACAGTCCTGTGTATGGCTCACAAAGTCCAAAACACTCCCAAGGTGCTCAGTCTGCCTCACAATACAAAGAAGAAAAACAAGGTATCCAGAAAATAGCTGCTCCAACGGTTCCAAAAAGGAACACTGGGACGGTTCCAAAAGAACTATGGGATCGCCAGGACCCCGTCACAGCAATATCCCGAAGAAGGCATGGGGGCGGGGCGGGGCTAGGCCCCTCTGAGCCACTCTGCCTGGGGCTGGGTGCAGAGAGAAGCCAGTTGCATTTGGTCTGCCTTCCACCAAAATGGTTTTACCAAGTCGGAACCAATGACTTGAAGAGAATCAACTGAAAACCAGTCTCGGAGTGTTCCAATTTACAATATCAACTTCAAAATGTGGTGTGTCCATTGGAAAACGACAATGACACCCACTCTTTCTCAATGGCATAAAAAGCTGTGGGATTGATCTATAATGGCGAAACTCTCAGATGATCTTATGCGTTTTGATAAATGTCCCACTCGCACCAATTTTACTGCAATCTGGCTCCCTATCCTGAACTACCTGAACTAACAGGACATCCCTCCAGTGATGGATGCCTTGTGGCTTTGGTAATGTGGGTCACTTAATTTCAAAGGTAAAGAACAGATTAATCCTGTTGGGTCATCATCTACAATATAGCTATTAATATCACTATGTAATTTTACCACCTGGAAAGCAAAGAAAAATGCATACCTGTAAATCACTCAGTTCATGTTGTAAACTGTTGCTTACTTGTTTTTACTATTGTTACAAATCTTTTTGAAGCTTTGTTGTTAGCTTTTAAATATGTATTTGGACATGAAAACGTAATAAAAAAGTATTATACAAAAAAATATTGGGGTGTGCCTTCACAACGCTCAGCCTAATAAAAAAGTATTATACAAAAAAAAATGGGGTGTGCCTTCACAACGCTCAACATTCTCACAGCTGATGAGAGACTGATCTTATAATCCTTTGCAGAAGCCGACAGTGGAGTTTACTATGGCAATCATATGCTTCCACACTAAATTTCTATTAAAGCGGGTGTGTGTGTGTTATTTTCAGCTATTTCTCTCCCCCAGCCACCTCCAGCACTCCCCGATGCTTTTCCTGGGAGTAGGGGTGGGTCTCCAGGGAATCACGTTAAACCGCGGATAGAAGTGAGGAGTTCTGGACAGAAATGCTTTCCTTTTGCCAAGATGTGTTGAGGGATCCAAGCTCTTCTGGTTTGCCCCTTTCTTCATCTGACAATATATCAAAGGAAGCATAAGCTATTGTGATAAGATTACGAAATACTTTTACTAACATAACACACCCTATAATACCAAAACACCATAGTTGTGTGGAAACAAACATACAATAATCCTCTTGTTTATAAGACTATAAAGTCTCTTAATATGCAGAACCGTTTCTGAAAATAAACTGTTTTCCAGACTCCTGTCTTGTTTGTAGATAGTAGCATACTTGCGTGCACAACCAGCAGTCAACTATTTGCCAGTTTCACAATAGTTTCCTCAGGCACACAGACCAGTTACTAGCCACTCTTGAGCATTTTGCCTTTTGAAAATTGGTGTGGAGGCTTTTGTGCCCCAAAGAAGCTTTTCTGAATTATTGGAGCCAGCATTCTATTGTGGAATTAACTGGTCTGTGTGCCTGAGGAAACCATTGTGAAACTGGCAAATAGTCGACTGCTGGTCATGCATGCAAGTACTCTACTATCTACAAACAACAAGACAGGAGTCTGGAAAACCGTTTATTTTCAGAAACAGTTCTGCATATTAAGAGACTTTATAGTCTTATAAACAAGAGGATTATTGTATGTTTGTTTCCACACAACTATGGTTTTCTGGTATTATAGGGTGTGTTATGTTAGTAAAAGTATTTCGTAATCTTATCACAATAGCTTATGCTTCCTTTGATACATTGTCTTATATTGTGATTCTCTCAGTCTCATTACTGCCTTCCTTCATCTGAGCTTTCCCACCACCTGGGCATTCTACGTGCCTTCTTCAGGATGCAACAAAAACCACGCGTCTTCTCTATGGCTTTCTGTGACTGATGGAATTTCTGAATGTGTCCACTCCATGATGAATGCACGTCAAGTTGGACTATGACACCACCATACAACTGGAGTGAGACACAGTGAAATACTTGGGACGCCGTTCTCTTTTTCTGTACTCTGGTTACACCTTGGCCATTATTGTATTATTGAATGTCTTTCTATATATATCTACATTCTGTTTAGCTATAGCCAGTGGTTCTTCTGCTTGGTTTTCTTCAGGATACGCCTGCGTGTTATTACTGTGACAAGGTCCCGGCGACTCTACCACACAAAACTGTTCACCTTCCTAATTCATCATTCCTTGAGGTAGCTCAAGGTGACACACCCTCTGTTCTCCCTCCTCCATTTTTCTCCTCAGGCTACCTTGTGAGGTGGGCTAGGCGGACAGAGAGACCGGCCTAAGGTCGCCCAGCGAGCTTCCATGACTGAGTGGGGTTTCGAGCAGGGGTGTCTCAGGTCCTAGCCCACAGTCTCCAACTGCTGCACCCCATAAGCTGCCAGGATATCCCCCTCCCAAAAAGGCAAAGGTAACTAATGAGGCATCGTACCATCTTCATCTTCCTCATCATCGTCGTCAAGGCCCTCCACGTAGCCTTCTGTATCCGAATCCGGAGCCTCTTTGTCATCCCGGTCGTAGCCGTCCAGGTATGTGAGTTGAGGAAGGAGTTTGAAGACGTTGTCTCTGTAGTCGTTCAAGTTAGTGACCTCACAATTGAAAAGATCTAAACTCTTCAGGTTTTCTAGCTTTTTCTGAAAGGCAAAAAGGGGGCGGGGGGGGGGGTCACATCCCAGTCCCCAGAGCCAAATTTCTCCAAGGAAACAGGCTCCCCCCCAAGCAGGATGTAACTGTGGTTTCCACAGAGGAGTCTCAGGAGACTTAAGCCACTGCGGAGTTCCAGGCAGGAACAGTGGCTGTTTGGAGATGTGGCAGGGCAGACCACTTCAAACCTAGAATCTCACGGGCTCATCAGCTGACCACCAGAGGGAGCTGTGGCCAATTGGCTGCTTGACCAAGACAGGAGTGATGCCCTCCGTGACACGATCCACGAACACCCTCTCAGATTCCAGCTTTTGAGAGAGCATTCTCAGCCCTCCGATGAAGGGAGGAAAGCATTTATAGCGGCTGAGAGAAGGTGTGAACAGCGAACAGGGGAACTTATACATCTTTCATTAAACTCTGCTAAGGTTTAACAAAATTGGGTTTCATTGAAAAACCACAAGCTGGCAGATTCCAGCTTTTGAGAGAGCATTCTCAGCCCTCCGATGAAGGGAGGAAAGCATTTATAGCGGCTGAGAGAAGGTGTGAACAGCGAACAGGGGAACTTATACATCTTTCACTAAACTCTGCTAAGGTTTAACAAAATTGGGTTTCATTGAAAAACCACAAGCTGGTGCCTATCTATTTATTTTTGCCCTCAACTTCTTGTTTTGATATTTATATATATTCTCTAAGCCGCCCTGAGCAAGCCACGGCGGGGAGGGCGGGATACAATTTTTTTAAAAAAAATTAAATAAATAAAAATTTTATTTGTTGCTGTAGATTTCCCGGGCTGTCTGGCCGTGGTCTTGGCATTGTGGGACCTGACGTTTCGCCAGTAGCTGTGGCTGGCATCCTCAGAGGTATAACACAGAAAGAAGGAGAACTCTCTGAGTCAAGGTGAGAAGAATAAGTAAATTTTTGCTTGTTTGTTTGTTTGAAGCCAGCAAAATGAAAACCAGTAAAATCATCTGCAAAGCTGTGGGTTTATTAGGATAACTTCCCTCCACGGAAAGCCAGGGCTCTTTTTGTAGCAGGAACTCCCTTGCATATTAGGCGACACACCCCTAATGTAGCCAATCCTCCAAGAGCTTACAGTAGCCCCTGTAAGAAGAGCTCTGCAAGCTCTTGGAGGATTGGCTACATTAGGGGTGTGTCGCCTAATATGCAAAGGAGTTCCTGCT